AAAGGTATGTAGTAATAGTTCCTGTATCATAGACCTGGGAGGATTAAGTGAGATAATACATGGGTTAACACCAGGCACATAGTAAATGCTTAGTACACATCAGCTGCTACTACTCTTACTGTCATGTGCTTTTGTAAATCAACCTGAAAATATACTGAATTGAAAAAGATTTTGGCATAAAGATTAAAGAACTGCTGGGAACTTTATCATATGTTTGGTTCTCTGTTCGGCTAATGATGAAATAGTGTGCTGTAGTCACAGTTGATGGGGAAATGGCTTGCCAACCCCTGAACTAAAAGGAGAAAGAGCCCAGTTAACCTCAGTGAAGCCTGGGAGAGAGGACTTGAGGTGTGCGACCCTAGATGGTGAAGGGACTGCAGGATGGCAGTATCGAGCCCTTTGGATAGAAGACAGATGTGGGTATGTGCAGATATGTAGAAGCTGTCAGAAAATGGAGGCTCCTTTAAAAATGATAAGAGTGTGAGGAATTTCATGCAGGGTCAGGAAAGTGCTAAGACTGACTGCAGGGACTAAAATGTATTCATGAAACCTACTCCAGAGGTGTTATAGTTCTTCCTTGTAAATGGTTTCACCTTCCTCTTTACCAGCTGTTTTCAAACTCTCATTTGTTCAGTGGAGTGGCCCTGAGAGCAGTACCTGTAGTTCATTAGGTGTAGAAACTCCAGCTGGGCTTCAAAGACGGGGCACGATTGAAATCGTGGTAGAGATACCCAGTAGCATGATTGAAAAGACAGGTTGTGTGGAATATAGAGGTTCATTCATAAATTTGCTTTGCAAGGGAGAAAGCTGTCCAGGATAAAAGCAAAGTAGAACTTGGGTAGGGGGGATGTGAGTAAACTAGGGACCCCATTAATTCAGATTTCTGTAGAACATTGCTATCGCTGACAAGTAACCTGAGTTTAAAATTTGTGGTTTTTCACCCTGGCCTGTGTGGCTCGGTTCATTGGGCATCATCCTACAAACTGCAAAGTTGCCAGTTCATCAGGGCACATGCCTGGGTTGTGGGCCGGGTCCCAGGTTCGGGGTGTGCAAGAGACAACTGATCAATGTTTTTCTCTCACATCAATATTTCTCTCCCTCTTTCTAGAATCAATGAAAAGAAAAACAAATTCTTTTTAATTCATGGTTTTTCATTTGGGAGAAGAAACTTAGGAAAACAACAGGCTGACAAACTTGAGCCACAAACTTGACTCTCTATAGGAGATAGGCCTGGCAAGAAAATAAATGATGCAGAAAGGTGGGTGCCTTAGAAAGTACATGCCCAAGGACAAAAGGCTGCACAGGACACAGCATCACCTGGTTGTCCCCAAGCAGATTTTTGGACATTCCAAGAGAAAATGGAATATGAAATTTTATGTGAATCTTTCCACCTTTTAAATATGAGCAACACATTTCTTTTTTTTTTCCCCCTGGGATCACTGAAGAAACAAAAAAGTGAACTATTTTAGGCCTCTGGACTTTCTATTTGCAGTGAGGGTCAAAGAGTAGAGAGAAATGCATAGCACAAAGAGTTAGGTGGCTCACCTGGACATACTGCTGATTCCTGTGCCAGGCACAGTACCTGTCAGGGAGCACACACTTAAGGTGGTTTATTAAATAAAGAGACCAGCTTATGTGAACCCCCCTTGGTTTTCAGTCGTTTCACACATAGAATGGAAAGGTAGGAGTTAGCCTTCCGTCAGCTCTAACTTAGAAGACAGAATCAAGTCAAAACTTGTGTAGCCCTCCTTGTAGGGCCTACCTCTCTAGATTTCTTTCTTCCTTTTCATGCCTTTCTAAGCACCCAGGGTGCCATTCTCACATTAAAGCTCCATGGTTTGCTTAGAACTTAAGAAAGTTTCAGAAATAAAAATAAAGTTTGTACTGTTGTGCTTCAAAACAAGACTGCTCAGTTTAGCCATCTTTTTTTTTTCTTTATTATGGTTAGTAGGCTTTTGCCTAATTTTTATAGACTGTTATATAACAAGAACATTCCAGATTATGCCATAAATTGCAACAAAGCTCTCAGAGTCCTAAAATGACATAGAGATGTTACTCCTAGAAAATAAGTCATTTTCTCTCTAAAAGTTGATATCATGCTGCTCATGTAATAGTGTGGGCTTTTCTTTGTTTAAAGGGCATGAGAGGATTTTTCTGAAGCTTTGGGCACTGGATCTTTTGTTAAAAGTTCTAGTGATATCTGCCCTTTTATTGTTTCAATACAAAAGTTTTAACTGTCTTGAGCAAGATTATTATTGCAGTTATCAGAAATTAATTGGAAAAGATTTAAGTTCAGAAGAAGGGGGCCACTATCCCTACAGGTCCAGAGAATTCTTGGAAGTCTAAGGAAGGAAATGCTTGGGTCTCTGGGGACTAGACTTGGGAGAGGAAAGACCTAGAATGCCAGGCAGAAACTATTTTCTGTTCTCTTCTGTAAGAGCTAGGTAGCCTCTTGGGCCATATTTGCTCTGAGCAGCACATTTATTCTTTTCTCTTTTCTGACTGGTTCTTTCCTGTAGACTGAGAGCACAGGGGGGTGCTTGCAGCCTAGACCAGGATAGACCCTCTTCATTCCAATTTCTAGTTCCAAGGGAAACAAGTTGAATCTCACTTTGGGTCATGTGTCCAGCTTTGGCTAAAATGGGAGCAGTTTGGAGTCCGATAGTACAAATATGACTTGGCATGAAGCTGAGGATTACATAGTGCTGAGAAGAAGAGTCACCATGGGCTAGACAGTAACTTTGAAAGAGTGGCATCTTCTACAGTTTCACCCACTCGCGCCCCCAACCCCCAAAAAATAAATTTATCCTTTCATGATTTTGGAGAACATTCAAGTTATGTCCTTTTTTTCTTGTTTCCTTCTGTCCCATCTCTATCATTTAAAAAAAATCTTAAAAATTTGTATTTATTGAATGCTAGTTACATAGTAGGTAGTGAATAAATAAAAGCTATCAGATTTCATGTTTCTATTCTTAGGCCATGCTCCCCAGTCTTCCTTTCGAACTATTTATCTTTCCCTTTTCAAAACAAAATGAAGTTTAGGCAGTTTGTTGTACTGCAAGGGGAACTAAATATCACCAAAGGCTTCCATCCTAGTTCCAATTTCAAACCATTTATTTGCTGGGTAATCTTGAGCAAATTATGAGTTCTCTTAGTCTGTTTGTTCACTAGCAGAATTGAAATTATAGTAACAGCTCTTTTGAGCAGTGTCATGGTGAAGATAAAATGAAAGAATATATACAAACATATGGTAGTTTTTTCCCCTATGAAAGAAAGGTTTCTGACCCCTTTCCTCTAAGTAAAGAAGTTACTATTTTTAAATGCTTATTTTTAGTAACTGCCACTACCATTTTCCTCTAAGAATAGGGTTTCCTTTAAAGCATTTTTAAGGTATGTGGACTGGATGTAGTGAATTTTTTTATGGCAAGTACTGTCTTGGGGAAAATTTCATAGTACCGAAAATCTGATGGCTTCCTTGGATGCTTTGGAGATATAGCTGGAATGTCCTGATGGAAAACTGAAAAATAGCTTGACCCAGTGAAATAAGATCAAGCACACAGTCTAATCTGATGCCGGTTTTGTTCCATCTCCACCTCAAGTGTACTCTGAAGGAATCACCGTCAGTGAGGTGAATGGTTATCTCTAACACATAACATCTTTATTGGCCGTCTTTTTCCTGGTAATTTGTAGCTTCCTTTGAGTGATTGTTGCGTAGCTAGTCATTGTTTAGGATGCAAAGAAATGAATTTTGTGTCAGGACAGATATATTAAGATAGTGGGTTTTATTGCAAATAAGGCAGAAAAGAAACACTAAAATAGAAATCAGAGAAAATTTTTAAAAGATGGGAGACTGGGAAGGAAATACAAATCCAGAGAAGAGAAACACACCCGGCTTTTAAAGATTGTAGGAATGATCACTTTAATGAGTGATTACATTACTGAATAACATTTTGTGGGTGAATAAAAAAACTGTCTAAAAAAAGGAGAGTGGAAGGATATGATCCAGGAATAACTTAAAAGCCAACAAAGATAATTACTAGTGAATGTTCAAAACACTTAACTTTCCGAGATGCTTTATTAGTATCCCACACCATGGAAATATTTGACTTACCATCTCAGAGTTACGAAAATACGTAAAAGTTGATCAAAGCAATAATCCTGTCACATAACTTGATGATAGCCAGTGAGTATTGTCAGAAGAGAAGTATGTTGCTGGTGAATTTTTCATGTGAAATCAGCCTGCCTTGTGCTGTTTTATGCTTCAGTATCTGCTCCATAGCTGTGTCATTGCCCATATTTGTTGTTCTCTCTCTTCTTCTGCAAGTCAAACTTGAAATCCAGTTAAATTTCTAACTCTGGTTTGTTAATTTCCAGTTCCTTGACTCCTTAACTCAGTGATCCTTCCTAAATTACAATAACTTGAATAGTAGCCCCCTTCTACTTGAAATGTTCATGTACATATATGCACAAAAATATGTAGATAATGGAACACAATTTTCTTGTGCTTCTTAGGAAGATGGTTTGATTTTTTGTTTCTTGTTTGTAGTATTATGAATTGCTTTTATAAACTGTTAGATGATAAAGGACAGAGCGAGCTCTCCAAATAATAATCTCATTCAGTGTGTGCGTGTTTTTAAATCTGTGGTTCTGACAGGTTTCATAGGAGCAGGCTTTCTGAATAGCCATTTTAAAAATTAATTGAAAACTCATTAGTGGCAAATTATGCACAATGACTAAGCCCCAGGTGCCTTCTCTCTGTACATACTGAATAGTATTTGTTCTTAGTTTACTGTAAATATAGCCAATTAAGGTCATTGTAAAAAAAAAAAAACAACCTGAATTACATTTATTGTGAAACTTCTAAAGTGCCTCAAATTTTAACACTTTGACAGTCAAAGCACACATAATAATTTTGGAACATCAGGTAACTAATGAGATTGTAGATTTCTAGTTAGCTTTACCTCTCATTTCATCCCTTTGCCCCTTTTCTCTGTTTGTAGATCTGAACAGAATTAAGAAGAAAGCACTTACACAGTCACAGCAGATGAAGATCCACTGGTAAATTGATCAGGAGTTTTGGCCTGCCCTCCAAAGAAAAGGTAACTGGCTGTTCCAGCATAGCACAACTGAAAAAATGGGATGCTTCTGAGTATAACAGAGCAAGTTTTACCAAAGGATGATGGTTTTTAAATATAAGATATCTGGATAAGGTTTCAAATTTTAAGCATAACTCTGAATGTGATCTTACTAACATGAAATGACAGTGAATTTGGGAGTACAATATTATTAGGTGTTAGTCAAGACAAAAACTGCTAAATACTGCCGCGCCCCCCCCCCCCCATCATTTTTTAAAATATACAGGAAGACTTTGGGGATAGGACAACCTCCCGCCCCATAAATCCATATTCATTTTTTTCTTAGGAAGTTGTCCAAAGATAATGCTGTTGTATTTCTGTCCAGCCCTTTTTTCCCCAGCCCCTGTTTTTTTCTCTCCACAAGCAGCATAGACCTAGCTACTTAGGGCTAGGAAGATCCTATACAAATTATAAAACAGGCAGGAGTTCTTAAGACACACTTTTCAGGCCCAGTGCCTTTGCCCAGCCATCAGACAGACGGCTCTGCTCATGAGCAGTCCCACATCTTTACAAAAATAGCAGCCACCATTAGTTGGAAACAATGTGTTTGCCATTGTGCATTACTATGTGTTTGCCATTGTGCATTACTATGTGTTTGCCATTGTGCATTACTGTGTGTTTGCCATTGTGCATTTACTATTTGGGGAGGAGGGATGGTAAGTTTTACATAAGGTGAAAAAGAGGAAACATTCCTGGAGGAATTTTTTATTCCCATGGATTCTTGTAATTTTTTTCTATTTTATACTTTATAGACAGTGGTGGGAAATAACATTAAGCTTTCAACTATATGAGCCACTTCATGAAATTACAAAAACCTGATATATAGAAATCCTTCCCAGGCACCCTCTATGACCTCCCTCTCTTATCTAGCCCAGTATCATTCTGCCACACCCCAGCATACACAGTGGCAATTCAGCTGTCCTGTACTAGCTGTGTAATATGGTGCCAGCTGTGGAAAACTGTCAGATCAAATTATCCTTTTCCTGAAGGAATTTTTATTAAAAAATCCATTCTTCCATCTCCTAAAAACAATGAGGGGCTTACATGTTAAGATGATGTTTAGGATGAGTCATGTCATTGAAGGGTAAAACTGAACAGAATCCAAATAGGAAAGACCAAAGGCTTTTTAGCTTCTGAGATTGATCAGAAGTTTGCCTTCTGATCAATAAGTAAATAAGTTTACTTATTTAGGCAACAAATGCATTGCCTCAATCAGGTTTTAGGCAATGATGGAAACATCTTGAACAATGTGAACATTTAGCTACAAAGTTAACATTTTTACCCTTACCAGACAGAAAGAGGAGCTTCCCGAATGATGTGTCAGTTCTGTTTAGGTGTTTAGAACACAGTACTAGGCAGCTCTGAAGTCTCCACCCTCAAAATAGGCCCTTAGAATTTTCTGGCCTAAGAGCAGCAATGCATCGGTACCCTTTGGTGATCACCGAAGTCATCAGAAAGGATGACACTTATTGTGGTATGTCTGGAAGATACCAGAGAAGATAGAAGCAGGGCTTTACTACATGGTGGTCAGCAACTGGCAGTGGTAGATTTGGGGGGAAAGGAGAGAGGAAACATTTGACAGAAATGCCAAATGAACATTTTAGTCCATAATTATTTATCGAGTTTGTACTATGTGCAAAGGGAGGGATTGTCTTTCAGGAGGAAAAGAGAAGAATAACGGGTGATTTCACAGACTGCATTTATAATATCTGTTGTTGTTTGTTTTGTTTATTTTTTTTTTGAGTACTATTCTGATGAAAAGATTAATATGATACCAGGAAGTCAATGATGAGAGGCAGGGACAATAGAAGTGTCACAAACTCAAGTCTGCAGGGACCAGCCAGCCAGAGGAATAAAAGGGGCCAGGTGGAACTGAGAAACTATCAAATTCATGGCCAACCTAAAAGGGCAGCATCTTTTCAGCACCATCTGATTGTAGGCCCAATATCCATTCCACAAATAGTTATTTCATGCCTACCTATGTACTGTGCTCTTCTGGGTACTGCACATTAATTAGTAAATCAAAGGGACAAAAGTCCCTGCCATGGTGGCACCTACCTTTTAATGGAAAGAAACATAATAGGTGGCAAATGCAATAAATACATACATTATTCATTATACTAGATCATGATAACTGGTTAGAAATAGCATGTCAGGGTAAGGAAAATCAGGAGTGCTGATGAGAGGGCAGGGCTTACAATTTTAAATGAGAAGTCAGGTTAGGATATTTTGAGAAGGTGAGATCTTAGCACTGCAGGTGAAGGAATGAACCACTGAGCTATCTGAGGATACAGTGAACATCCAGTGCAAAGGGCTACAACAGAAGTCTGTCTGAGTTGTTCAGGCAATGGAAAGAAGAAGGCTAGAGCTGAGTGAGAAGGCAGGAGAGTGGTAGGAAATAAAGTCAGACAGGCACAAGAACAGTGTGTACCACCTCATAGCCCATCCAAGCCTTCGCTTGTACTTCGGGAGAAGTGGGAGGCCACCAGAATGTTATGAGTAGATGAGTGACCTGATCTCACTTCTGTTTTGAAATGAAACTACTGTGGGTACTATATTGAGATAGAGTGTGGGGGGAAGGGGAAAAGCAATGAGACAAGTTAATCTGGAGTTATTGCAATAACCCATGTAAGTGATGATGCTGCTTCCAGACCTTCCAGATTTTTAAGGGAACTGAAATCTTGATTTCAATGATTTTCCTTGAGTTTTTCAATGTTAGCAACTAATTTAAGGAAAGAAAACAGTTTGAGTCAACCTTAATAAATCTGTGGGATTCTGCCATTTGTTGACAATTCACTACATTAGGTATAGAAGTGGTGAAGGAATTCAGAGAAAGCTGAGGACTTTGGGCTAGGCTAAATTGGGGAGATTAAGAGTTGATTTGAAGATCACATGAAAGTTTGTCTCTGATTAGCATAAAAGCTGAAGGAAGACAAAGATAAGGGCATACAACTATTCACAATGGCCAAAAAGTGGAAACAACCCAAATGTTCATCAACTGATTAATGGATTAAAACAAATTATAGATACATGCTTTAACATAGATGAGCCTTGAAAATGTTATGCCAACTGAAAGAAGTCAGACACAAAAGTACACACGTTGTATCATTTCATTTAAGTGAAATATCCAAAATTGGCAAATATTGCTCCCTGACCAGTTGACTGGAGTATCACCCCGATACACCAAGGTTGCAGGTTTGATCTCCAGTCAGGGCACATAGAAGAATCAACCAGTGGATTCATCGATGAGTGGAACAACAAATTGATGTGCTTTTCCCCCCCTTTCTTTCTTCCTCCTTCTCTCTGGACATCAATCAATAAAAAATTGATTAATTTAAAAAAAGACAAATTATTTGAGACAGAAGACAGATGTAGCTTTTGTGGCTTCTAGGAACTGGGGGAGGGATGGGAGATGCAGAGTGACTGCTTAATGGGCACAGGGTTTCCTTTTGGGGTGAAGAAAGTGTTCTGGAACTAAATAGTGATCATGGTTGTATCACATAATGAATATACTACAGGTCACTAAGTTGTACACTTTAAGATTATTAAAATGGTAAATTTTAGGGATGTATATTTTATGTCTTCTTTAGCCATAGTAGAGTCTTTGTAGGGAAGAGTGAAGGGTTGTAAGTCCATAAAAAAGATGTTTGTCCAGACAGTGAAAGGTGTTGAGTGCCAGACCAAGGAGTTTAGAATGTCTGTTGGCAGCAGTAAAATATAGCAGTGTATATGTACTCCATAAGGAAGAAGGAAACTGAAGGGGGGTTGGTGTCTTAGGAATCTTAGCCTCTGGGTTTCAAAGGAAGGGAAACTGGCCCCTGGTTTAATCAATCAGCCTGTGATACTGCTGCTCACCTGGTGGAATTTTCTGACAATCTCACAGAAGTGTCAAACAAAATTAGAACTTCTTTAAAAAAAAATATTCTTACTGACCTGGCCAGGTAGCTCAGTTGGTTAGAGCATCATCCCAATACACCTAGGTTGCTGGTTTGATCTCCAGTCAGAGCATATACAGGAAGCAACCAATGATATGTAAATAAGTGGAACAACAAATCAATATTTCTCTCTCTCTTAAAAAATAAAAATTTTAAAAATATACCCTTATTATAGTTCTTGGTTATAAGAGTTTGTCATTAAAAAAATTAGGTGATTATGTGAGGTGATGGATATGTCAACTGATATTCACATACACACACACATACATACACACACAATATCGTCACATTGTACACTTTATACAATGTTGTATGTCAATTATATTTCAGTAAAGCTAGAAAAATTTAAATATCATATAAACAGGTTAATAAAAAAAAGCCCCTTTAATTATACTCTTTAACATCCTGCTCCCCATAAATCCAAAGTTATTTGGACTGTTTTCTATGTATAGACTTATCATTATCATCATTTCTTTTTCACAAAAATAGGCACATACTATGCATAGTGTTTTCCATGTTGCTTTTTTAAAAACTTATATCTTGCCTTGATTGGTGTGGCTCAGTGGGTTGGGCATCGTCCTGCAAACTAAAAGGTTATGGTTTTATTCCCTGTTAGGGCACGTGCCTGGGTTTTGGGCCAGATCGCAGGTTGGGGGCGTGCAAGAGGCAACCAGTCAATGTTTCTCTTGCACATTGAAGTTTCTCTCCCTCTCTTTCTCCCTCCCTTCCTCTCTCTCAAAATAAATTTTTAAAAATCTTTTTTTAAAAAAATCTTGGCTGTATTTCTACTTCTTCCTATATTATATATATTATATTACATCTACATAGTATATATTATATTCTATATACTATAGTATATATTATATTCTATACTATAGTATAGTATATATTATATACTATATAATACTATATACTATAGTATATATTATATACATACACTTCGATTTGTGGAAGGAAGGAAGGAAGGAAGGAAGGGGCCATTTACCTCTATACAAAAAGGATGGTGTATCATAATATATAAAAGTAACT